CGGTTCATGTTGGCCAACTCGACCCGGTCGTAGTCAAACAGCAACAGCTTTCCGATCCCACAGCGGGTCAGCATCTCGGCGGTCACCGAACCCACGCCCCCGACCCCCACGATCGCCACCGAATAGTCGCGGATTCTCTGCAATTAATAGCCAATCGTTTAGCACTTCTTATACCACTTCCCACTGAAATGCGAGTTCAGTTTGATTGTCACAAAAGTTAGCATATTTTGGTCCACATCTGTGGTCTAATTTAGTGGACAACTCTTGTGACAAACAGTCTTTTCGACAGACAGTGAAATGGTTTATAGATTGCGGTCAAAACCTATCGCACACCTCATAGTTGTCAACGATTCCCATCCTCTTGAGTGCCATCAGACGACTGCAATCGTGTCGTTCATTGGAACCAAATAAATAACACTTAGTTTTCAGACATACAATCATTACCTCAAGACATGTATACCTGTATGGGTTGGAATCGACCACTTCTGCACTCATGGCAGCGATCTTTTGTCTCGATTTGGTCTCATTATGGCATCGATTCGCTTGTCTTTCGGTCTCCAACTCCTTCTCCAACTCAACGATCCGTTGCCTCAACTCATCCATCGTCTCAATGGTCTCACAGATAGTGATAATAAACTGATAATACTGTCAGATGGACAACGATTACACTAATCGATGGCTTATGGGAAGCGGTGGAAGTGTTGATGAAATGGTTGCATATGTGGCACAAAATCATGTGTCAATCAAATCATGTGTTTAATTGGTGTCAAACATACGGACCGACAGATGGGGTGACAGTGCAGTGAATGCGAGGTTTGTTTGCATTCAATGTTTGCAATGCTTTTGAATGGAGAGCTGAATGCGTGAGGAGTGCAGTGAATGCGAGAGACAGTGTCTCACCGAAAGCTAAGCTAACAGTGCTTTTCAGTGTTATTCAGTCAGTCAGTCCCCTAACAGTCAGTCCCCTTACAGTGCCTTAGAGTGCAGTCGCTTCTCACCTACTGTTTCAGGCATTCACTTGTATTTGAGTGCAAAAAAGTTTTTCGTGCGACAAATGGTTTGAAAGTTAAGTTATGCTAACATTGTGTTGAAGTTTGGCATATATTTCGTGCGATAGTTTGGCGGCGATTGCCGTTAATGTGGTGAAGAAATGCTGAAACATGTCTCGAGTCGGACTCTAAACTCGCTAAACGTGGACACAATTAGCATCAATAGCTCAGTGCTATGCGGCTCATCCAATGGTAGTGCCAATGGATGCGATGAGCAGACCTCCAGGTCGTCGAGGTCTTCGAGCTCCACATCCATTCACGACTTAGGCCTCCAGAGGGTAAGCAAACAGGCAAACAGATTATTGGATCAAAGTTTTTGAATTTCGCATACTTTTCAAATATTTTGCCCAAAAATGTGGCGAATGTTTGGAAACTTTTTTTCGTTTCTGTCGATAATCTTTGGGTTAAATATACGCTTGTATTGAAAGTTTTGGAAAAGTTTTGTTGAAAGTTTGTTAGCTCTGAATAAATACATAAATTATACTATTTTTGTGACATTTTTGTCGATACATTCTTTCGCAAAATATTATATAAATTAGAGGTTTTTTGTTTATTTGAATAAAAGCTTTAAAACACAACAAAAAACTTTGAAAATCATTGAAGCGTTTCTCGTAGACAATCAAATGTCTGACACAAGCCTTACATTAGTGGAAAGCCTTACAAAAGTTGTTCACAAAGTTTTGTTTCGACGATGAATTGAATTTCATTACATTTTTACATAATATTTGCGAAAACAATCGCTTTTATTGTTATTTATACGTTAAAAATATCGTTAATAGTAACAAATTATTAGCTATTGATTACTATTATTATAATATACAGTGAATAGTCTCTGTGTTAATCCGATAACCAAACCGTCAATAAAAATGTTTTCGGATTTAATTTCATTGCCTGAAGACTGCTTTCGCATCAATTGAGTTATCATTAAAACATAGCGAAAGTTATTGATCTAAACCTAAAGCCGAAAATATACAACAAATCTTTTAAGGCAATGATTGTAATATTAATAGTGCATTGAAGGCTAAACACATTACGAGACATACAAATCGTTTTCTCCTAATTTGTATTATAAGAAAAAAAGCAATGAATGACTGAATAGATGAATGAAAATGATTTGAAATCAAACGCTTAAATCTTTTTATGGAAGTGTTTTGAACACAAACTCGTTATTGAAAAGTTTATTTTCATTATTCTTTACATCATTTTCTCAATCAAACGCTTTGCCAAATGATTAATGATTTTCTTATTTTTTTTATTATTTTTTATTTATTCGATAAATATTTGGTTTGAAAAGTGTATAAAAAAATTGAGAGCAAAAACTTATGTAAACTTTGGGACTCATATTGTATTGAATTTCTATACTGTATAACAAAACCTAATATAAAATGCATAGAAATGAGACAATTTTGATATCAAATAAGAGACATATTGTGTGACTGAATGACTGGATCCCGGATTCAGAGAAAAAGAGGGGTCCGGGCGTTGGCGACACTCGACCCCCCGTTTGCATTGCAATGCATGGCTGGACCACTGGTAAAGTCACTGTCAGTTCAAGTGTTGAGCCATTTGAAGACATTTTGCGACAATTATGTGAATTCCTTCATTAGACACATAATTGAGTTGTCGTCCAAAAACGCGATTCTCAAAGCAATAAGTGTTGAAAAAAGCAGTGAACGAGAGATCGTGGACTCAAAGCTGAGCTAACCTTTTGCACTGAAGTCTCTCACATCTCCTCCTTATCTGTACTCGCAGTCAGTCTTCAACTCTAAGACACACAACAGTATTGAGCGGAGAGTCAGATGTCCTCAAGAGTTGTATCAAAATGCATGCCCTGTCCTGTGCTGTACTTCTGAGTCCCAGTCAGTATCCAAAGACCCCCTCTTCCCATCTGCTGATCGGACCCCTCATCCCATTTCCTGTCAGTTCTCTCCATTCAGTCCTCCATTTCCTATCGGAGCTGACCTTTAATTTTGTTTGAGAGCTCACTATACTATACAACAGCTGTTATAATAAGCGACAAACTGTATGGGCCTTATGTGGTGAGCGCCTGTAGCTCTCTCTTAGGCAGGGTATGGCTCTCTTAGAAAAAAACTGGAGTTCTTTGCGAGAGAATGGTAGACCTTTAAGAAGGCGTAGTCCCTCTACCAGTGCTCTCTGAAGGGGTATTTCAATGGGGAATATGTCTTCCCGTATGACAATTGGTCTGTGAAATGGCTTTTGTTGTTATGTTTGGTTGTGTTGACTCTCTTTCTCTCACTCTTAAGTTTACAAACATTTTGTTTTTCCTCTCATTTAAATCATACCAACAATTCATTCCGTTTATAGCTTTTAATCGTTTCGTTCATTACTTCCCCAAAACTCTTCCCAAAAAGAGTTTATCTTTTAGTTCACAGAAATAGAAGATTACGAAGAAATGGATCTCAGATTTGAGTCCAGAGTTCATTCAAATGAGAGTTATTTAAAGAGTTAATTAGTTTAGACACCGATTATAACCATATCATCGGTAGGGAAGGGATTGTTATGAGAATGTTGTGTCGAAAATAGCATAAATACACAGCATTTAAGCATTTATATAGCAAATGATGGACTCAATTGTGGAAATTAATGCAAAAGTGTTTCGCATTTATTCCGATTTAGCTTTCAGTTGAGGCCATCATATATGATGTAATTGTTTGCCGACTTATTATCGCAAATAATTGGTTGTTATGTCATTTCGAGGCGCTGTTTGTTTTTAACTCAATTCAAAGCCATTTTTATATTGCATTATATTATATCCTAAATGAAGTAAAGCTTATTTAAAATTAAGACCGAAATCTAAACCGCGACACACATTGCGAGACAACACTTGTGTCCGATTATCTCGTTTTCTAATCACTTAATTGTTCAGAAAATTAACTTTTAATCACATATTAAAAGGGATTTCGCGAGAATGTTTAGACCCAAATGTATTTGCGAGAAATGAATGCATTATTAATTAACTGTACGAAATAAATAATTAAATAAATGAAATAAAAATATGGTTTATTATTTAATGTATTATATTATTAAGTAAAATATTATTTTTTGAGGAAAACTTTTACTACATTTAAGAGAGAGAGAGAGAGAGAGAGACCAATTATTTAGTCACTAATTTGAATACAAATGCAATGCATAACAGATGTTAACCTTTTTGTTGTATTGTTTTTCTTAAGTAGTTATAAATTATGAAATATTTAGCGGTAATAATGTATCAGAAAATATATGTATGCGAACGACACCATCAAATTGAATAGAAATTCTCAAAATTAATTGTCCCTGGCACTGGCATTAAGTAACATACAAAACAGAGAGTCGCATATTAATTGAGTTTTTAGTCTTGAGATATAATATGAAAGGGGAACACAAAGTGGTACTCAAGAGTCAAAATGAACACCAATTGTCATACCTTTGCGTCATTTTTATATTTCTTTTTCCCATGCATTCAATCTCTGGAGTCTTAATATATTTTCATTCATTGCGTAACCCCTGCAGGCATTGAAAGGCACGGGAAGGCAGAGGCATATAATTTGAACGGAGAGAGAGAGAGAGAGAGAGACCAGAGATGGGTAGACGAGTAGCACATTCTTTACTTTTGCTTTTATAGTGTATACAACACTTACGCAAAAAAGTGTATATAAGAGTATAGGGCTTATCATCACAACTATCGAGAATATTTAGGAGAGACACCCAACAAACCACTGCCTCTAAGCCCTATCCACTATCGTATGCACACCACTACTGGGTATTCTCAAGCAAATTATCTCTTAAATTCAAATCATGTCTTAAAGTAATAATTTATTCTCGGCGCTAATACTAACACAAATCGGTTACCAATTATTGGGAACAAAAACAACAACAAAAATCATAGTCTTATTGATATATATTTTTTTGGTACCAATTGTCTCCGAAACATAGCTTTTATTTATTTTTATGTAGCATTTGGTAAAAATGTGACATTCTTTGCACCATTTTCGACAAAAATAGCTAAAGAGTGGCTAAATGTGAAACAAGTGCTTCTGTGGGCATAAGATGGGGAGCATATAAATTGGAGTCATTAATGGCTTTGACTGCAAACGCCTTTTTCCGCTCTCCTCTCAGATTAATTGAATGTCAGGACAAAGGAATGCTTACAACACATACACAGCCCTTATAGACAAACTCAATGCTCAGGTCTTCATTAAAAAGCGGAGTTAAGGTCTTTTTGGAGACCCAATCAAATGAGATGTGATTCCGCTCTCGGAGTGTATGTCAAACACAATAAAGCCTTTCAACTGCTATGAACTCATAAAACACTGATTGTTCCCTAAATTAAACCCAAATACCATTATAGCTCAGAGTAACAAAAGTCTATTATCATTGGAAACCAATTGCTCTGTTTTTTGGTGTTAAGATTTGCACAAATATTGACTTAATATTGCACTCATTTTTGCCAGTAATGCCATTATATGGTACGAAAATACTAAATATTTGCATACAATATCATTTCAGGTGGTAATTAAGATACACTCACGAGTCCTGTCGTCGGACGTCGAGTATAAGACACTGTCGATCACCAGTCAGACGTCCAGCAAAGAAGTGGTCCGATTGCTACTCAATAAGTTTAAACTCAAACAAAGGGATCCCAATCTGTTTTACCTGACGCTAGAAGTATGGATCAGACAAACAGGTATGTTATGACTTCCCATCTCACCTGCGATAGCGATCTTACTGTGCATACAATTTAAATAGTTATTGATTTTTATAGCCGTTAAGTATATGAAACACTTGACACAATCAGTCATTTCTTTGCCTATCCTTTCGGTTGTAACTGAATGTGAAGTATCTCTCAGGAAAAGCAATGAATTTTTGTATTTAATTAAGGAATTTGTAAACAGTTTTTATTACCAAACCGAGAGGAAGTTATAAAATTTGATAAACATTAGGCTATATATTTAGTATAAAGCTGTTCCCATTGATAGTCATATCATTGCCACTCAGACTTTTTTATATCATACGGTATTTGAAATATTTATTGATATTGTATTTCATAAATATAAGTTATATAATACACTGTATTCAATATAGAGATAGGAAAATAATTTAAGGGAAACTAACAAAACAATAATGCATTTGTAAGTGAAAGCGTCCCCACAATAGCCACTGATTTATGGGAATATACGACTAGAAAAGCACAGGTTTTTTGTTGCACTCAATAGGTCTACATCTGAAGCGAAGCCCCGAAGAAGAAAGTTTTGCGTAAAAAATAGATAATTTTCAGTTCAATGAATCATATCGTAAGCGCAAGTATAGCGTAAAATGATTGCCTTCTCATAGAAGCAATTGCTTCACAATTGAGTCGATTCTCTCCATTCATTGAGAATCCTGTCCAACGAGTCTAATACAACAAAAACTTTTAATAAAATATTTTTACTACAATTTTCTGAGATTCACTTTTCATTGAGTGTTTGCTCTCCTTTTCTCTCAATTATTTTCCCAATATTTGTGTCAATTCTATGTATAAATATTTTGAATACGAGAATCTGGTTTGGAGTTCAATTATGTGGACATAAATCAAGCGATAATTAGCGTAGAAAATGATTAATTTCTAATCGATTTGCTATTCAATGAGCGAAAATTGTAACACATATTAATCACTCGCTATTTATTACTATTAATTGCTCTTCAATTTAGCTTTCAATTCAAGTTCTTATGATATGTTTGAGACTTTGAATGAACTGTTTATTGGATTTTATTTTTCGTTCATTTCGTTTGATTGAAATTGAAAGCCAAACGCAAAGATATTTGTTGCGATGACAGGCATAGGATGTGTTCAACAAGACATCCCTTTTAACAGAAATGTTTTTATTATACATACGAAACAAATAAAAGGGAAATATTGCGAGAAAATCAAAACAAATTAGATTAACGGCTATCAAAAACATTTAAGATAACAAATACTTATGTACATTACATAAACATTACGCTATACTAACTGACAAGGCATTTTGAATGTCTTTTTTGTTAGGCATTCCCATCCGGAGTGTTATGGTGTTGGATGACGACACATGTCCGGCGCTACTCCAGTCGTGTTACCCCCAGAAAGACTTAAAGTAATAATAGACGGAAACGCTGTACAATACACGGCATATGAATACATAAACACAACTTAATTTGCAATTTATTTGTTTTAATTACGCAAAAGGTTTTCACTTATGATGCGATGCGGAGGTCTCATTAAGATCTACGACAGCTGTCTTATGTCAGGGGTATGTCTGATGGCCCGACACCACTCTCCACTCTCTCACCACACTTTCCCCTCTCCCTCCCTATCCTCTATACCCACACTCTTTAACTCTTATTTGTGGGGCAAATCATCTGACATTTGGTTTATTTATAGTCTCTGTATAAGAGCCTTCTTCTATCGGACCGCACGACTGTCGAGGAATTGATCCAACTTTTACTCAACTGCTATAACCTCAATGAGAAGCCCTCGAAGTTTGCCTTATTTGAAGTCTGTCCGTCCCGTAAATGTATGTCTTTTCTCAAACAAAATATGCATTCAATTGTTAGACAAAACAAAAACAAATAGCTTTTATGAAAATAAATGCTATATTCATAACAGGCGAACGCAAACTGTGCGGCAATGAGATCCCATTAGCCATACAGTCCCAGTGGCCGAACCCCGATATATATGTGTTTCAATTGAGAAGGAACACCACTTCAGAAGAGTATCAAATCAGGAAACGCGAGGTACGAGAGGTTTGTTTTTCTCATTTCGCTTTTTTATCTAAATATTTAAGTTCCCATAGAATGCGAACCTAATGTAATGTCTTGTTGTCTTAAACTCATGTAAACTCTTGTTTCCAATTGTTATGAACTGATGGTTGGGACCGATAGTTGCCGTGGAGTAAGACGTGCGACCGCTCCGGGAATGTCATGTTTCACCTGAACCGCAAGGATGAGGTGAACTCCGCGTCCATTCACTCGCCCACATTGAAGCCATCGTTCAATAATTATGAAAATTATTTCTACATTTAATTCATCAATGTATGATTACAAGTGAAATGTGTTTCTGTAATTCAATGAAAGACTAGTCGCGTATCCAAATTCACACTTCAGTACAACAAACAAACAATCGTTTCGGACATTAACTCAGATTCATATAAAATTTTTATTATAAATATTAATATAACGTTCATGTATTAAATTTCAAACGCGGTCTACAATTACCGGTATATTATGTTTCTCGCCAGACATTCATATATCTGTTAGTGTACTGCTATTTACAATCAACTTTCCGTATCTACTGATAGTTTTCCCAAAAACCAAACAATATTTCGCTGAAGTATTTTGAATTTCCGTTTTGTTTCATAAGTTTCAATTAAATCTCTTTTATTTTCGCAAAACTTTTTATCAATAAATGGTGTTAAATGTCGTCTGCATTCATACGAATATACTGTTAACCGCTTTCGAGACCGAATTTGAGATCATTTTTTGCATCACTTTTATAAATATGTTTTTTAAACATTCATTGTGTGAATAGTTTTAATGATAATCTTTTTTATCATATCTGTGTTTACTGTAAGTGTTTTGTAGAGTTATTATTAATCCGAGAAATTTTATTGCTTTCTATTTTGCTTTTATTGTATAATTAATTTCATTTTATATTCAAAAACCACTTTTTGTACATTAAATGAAGTAATTATCGAATCATTTGTATAAATATTATAAAGTTTTATATGATTTATAAGTTTATATATATGTGAAAATATATTTTTTAAAATAAAAAACGATTTTAAAATTCATATGTTGGTAATTAATTCCTTTTGGAAACAATTTTAATCAATTTGTAAATCACTTTGACTTAAATTATAGTTATAAACCTTTCATTACAATTAATTAATGAAAAACATAAACCTTTATATGGGTATTAAGATTAATGAAGGCAATAATTTTTACGCTGTAAATGCCGTTTCGTTTAAAAAGTTTCCTGAAATCACTTGATATCCAAAAAACAATCTCAAAAAACACTCATAATATCGACGCCCACGAAGTTTCTCCACTTATCTAAAGTACTGTTGATATGAATTAAGAGTAGTTTCACTCAAATCTCGTATTTGTTTATTGATTACAAACGTATTTTTCATTAAGCAATCACTTTAGCTAACGACTTAAGTGTTGGGAAATATTTTCCGACATTTCTATCAGAAATCTGGTATTTTCATTATACACGACATTCCGATCGTATAGTTTACATCATATTTACATTTCATATTCAAAATAGAGGTTTTCCACATCAAAATAAATAGTGTGAGAAATTTCAATTAACTTTTAGTTTTTAGTAAAGTTTGCGTTTTAAAGACATGTCAATGACTAAAATATTTCAAAGAATAACAAAACGGGAAATATATTAAAATATATTTTTAGATATAAAATTATTTAATAAATATAAATATAAATGATGAATTACACTACACTTGAGAACTTGTGGCAATGAATGTTCAAATATTTAAATATCATTAAATATTTCTCTAAATAACTGTGATTTCATTATGTATTCATAAATTGTATGATTCATTAGGAATATCCTAAAATAGACCTAAAATGTGAAATTTACATTGAACTACTATATTTATTTTCCAGTAAACTTGTCAATTAATGTGAATCTTATCTTTTTAAATATATTTCGGTTTAAATTTAAGAATTCTGTACTAATGGTGTTCCCATGAATTAATACAAATAATCCATTTGTTTAATTCCTTTTATAACAAATATTTTTGACAAATATTGCACCAATTGTTGTGGACCTTAATTTAATTAACATTTCATTTTTATTCAAACTATTGTTAATCTATTTGACACAAAAAATTATAAAATTTAGTCAAATATTGGCAATCAATTTAAGAATATCTTTGACAAAATATCTTGAATAAAATGTAGATGATAATTTAAAATTACGGCATTTATTAGCATTAAACTTATTGAAAGTCGAGTTTACCTCCAAATGATAATCTGGAATATAATTATAATTTTAAAATTGAAACAATTTAAATTAAATATTTATTTTATTACAACATACATTTAAAGTTATCATAACGCTTTATCATGGTAAAATATAAAATATACATTGTACTTGGAAACTAACTAATGGATTTATTTTTTACTTGGGAGTCATTATTTCAACAATCGCACCCGGATGGCATATCGCATATACCCCCGTGGGACAGGCAGAAGATGTATTTCGGGCACTCCGTATCGCACGGTTCCTCAGCCGACACTTGCATTATGATAGCGGCCACGAGTACCACACAAA